TAATAAATTAAATTTTAGAAAATAGCATTTGAAACTTCCATATTGTCACTGGGAAAGGAACTGGCCATGGGTCTGGGCTCACACTGGCCTATACCTTATTTTATTCCGAGGGATAGATAATGTAGCAGCACAGAGAAAACCAAGCAATCTGATAAGATGGACACCATCTTTACATTGCCTCCCTGGGACAGTATTTTTGGTGTAGTATATTTCAGAAGTGGAAGTTTAGAGTTTCTCACTTCCTTTACTAAGGTTGATGTTTGCAAGACATTGTCTATGCTTCATGACAGCTCTGTCTGCACCCTCTTGTATGGCCACCAGCTGTCTGTTTAATCCAGTCCCCCAAGCAGAGTTAATGAGACATCCCTACTTGTATAACCTGGTGTGATTAGAGCCTCAGATCTTTGCACCTCAACAGCTGCATGTTGTCACTGAGATAAATATTTTAACTTGTCTGTCAATTCCCTAGCTGCCCTGCATAAGTGGCTGAAAGAGTGGCTACTGTTTCACCATTTATAAAAGTGGAATTCTAGTTCTGATGGAACAACTGTCTTAAAAACAACCTGTAAGGAAGTGAGTAGGGGGATGTTATGCCTCATTGATGGTTGATAGAATTTACATTTTTAGAGGGTCTTTTCTGTGCAAGATAGTCTCCAGACTGAAACTTTAAACTAAAGTGTCCTCTCCTGATTTTACAGTCTGTGGGCTGTATTGACAGCTTCAGTATTCTGAACATCACTGAAGTGCAACAGTGTGTTCGGAGAGCTACAAAACACAAAAAATGACGCCAACCACTTACTTTGGAAATAGGAGTAGGTAGCAGGCTGCAAGCCTTAGGAGTTACAGCCCAGCTGCAGGCAGGCAGTAGTGATTGCAAGCCTGCCTAGAGGGATTGGGCAACTGACATGGATAACTGACAGGCCAAAGGAAGTTAAAAATCTCCCTGGAAGTGGGGAGGGGTGCGGGGAGGAGAAAGATGTGTTGACTGGAAGATTAGTACTACATGAGGGTTGTCTCTCTCATCAAGTCTGGGAAAATACCCAGAAGTTTGGTTTGTGTGCGCTGTGTACCTATACTCATTTGGTTCCTGGGGTGAGAAGACATGTTTGTTTATTTGAATGAGAAGGCTTGGTTTGTTTTCTCCGGAGAGGAGTTTTCTAGATATGAAATAAAAGGATTGGTTTTGATTTAAAAAAAAAAGAAAAAAGGGCTTCTGAGTGTCACCCTGCTATAGACATCTTATTTATTTTTAGAGACCTCAAAATGCTACCCAGTGTTTAGGTCAGCAGGGCCAGATTAATGAGTAGGCAAACTAGGCACATGCCTAGGGCCCTGAGCTGTGGTGGGGTCTGGTCCTTCCCTCTGTGGCGGCATCGCAAATGGCCCCATGCACCTCCCTTCCCTTCCCCTCTCTTCTGTTGGCTTCACTGTGGTGGTGGCTGCCTCCTTTCAGCAACTCTGACCCCACTCCTAGCAGCTGGCAGCACCGGGGTGGGGAAGAGGATCGAAATCAGCCTAGGGCCCATGAGTTTATTTGCCTAGGGTCCACTAAAGGGTTAATCTGGCCCTGTAGGTCACAAGATGGACAGTCAGGGTTCTTGATGTCTCTTCCTGCTACTGTTTCTCCTAATGAAATTGAACCACTCCCTTAATCTAGTTGTGCCTCAGTTTTCCCCATAAACAGCCTCCGAATTCAGAGCCCAATTATGCTGGATTCTGTACAAAAATTCAAGTGAAAGCTGACCACTATCCTGAAGAGTTTATAATATAAATGGACAAGAGAGAGGGGAAGTGACTTTCCTAAAGTCATGCAGCAGGTCAGCAGCAGTGCTGGGAACAGAAGACGTACCTCCTAATTCCCAGGCCAGTGTCCTCCATATCTTGAATCACATTCCATTGACTTGTCACTAATACTAGTCTTCCCTGAGCTCTTCTAAAGATTGCAAAAATCCAAAATTGGAAAAAATGGCTAGCCTACAGTTCAGTGGAGAAGGACCTAGTGGTTATAGTAGACTGCAAGCTGAATGAGTGTTGTGTGCAAGTAAAAGGAAGTGATTTGTTTTCTCTCTTCAGTAAGGCTTTGCCTGGAGAGCTGTGTCCAGTTTTGGGCACTGCACTTTAAAAAAGATGTGGGGACACTGACAAGAGTCCACTAGAGAGCAACAAAAATGATCAGAGTTCTAGAAAATACATGAGAAAAAGTTGGAAGAATTGAGATTATTACATTTAGGGAGGGGAAGACTGTGGCCACATTTGGAAACAATATTCAAATGCTAAAAGCTGGTATAAAGAGAATGGAGATTGATTGTTCTGCGTCTACAAGGGATGGGACAAGAAGTAATGGACTTAAATTGCACCAACAGAAATTTAGGCTGGGTATTCATAAGAACATTCTAGTTCTGTGGATGGTTAAGCACTGGCCTGGACAACCTAGAGACGTTGTGGAATCTCCATCACTGCAAGTTTTTAAGCAAAGTTCTGGGATGGTTTAGACGGACATGATTCCTCTGTGAGCAGTTCCCTTCCAGCTCTGTTGTTCTGTGATTTTATAATTACTCACTAGCCAATTGCTTGTTAAGAATGATGGGTGGGGCTGGGATGGAGCGCCACTACCCACCAGCCCATGCTGCTGCTGCCTCCCAGGAGTGCGGGGGAACTTGCCCTTCCATCCCCCTCCACCAACACCCTGTGCCACCCCCAATGCTGCTGGCCTTGCCCCGCTCCCTCCACCCCCAGCCCTGCTCCTTGAAGGTGGCAGAGTGCCGCCATGGCAGGGGGGGCAAGTCCATTCCCTCCATCCCTGCCATCGTGGTAGCGTTCTGCTGCCAATGAGGAGCAGGGCTTGGGGAGGGGAGGGAAGAGAAGGCGAGGCCAGCAGTGCTGGCCTCACTGCGCCCCCTCCCCCCCCCCTTTGTTCCAGCCCTGCCGTCATGGAGGCACTCTGCACTCTGATTGGTTGTTTCACTAGCCAATCAGAGTGCTCCAAGAGCATTATGGATAGACAGACAGATGGGCTAAACCTTTTATTACATAAGAATTTTGTAAAGTGTTCACATAGAAAACATAACCCCAAGATCTGCTAACAGAGTAGATGGGATTTAATAGCAAACAGTGCACATACGTGCAGTTGACCCATTAATATTTGGTGTGGCACACACACATGTACCTGTGTGTAAAACTCAAATTTCTTAAAACGTCTAACTGGAATATTTCAAGCCTCTCCCTAAAGAACCTCAGTATTTTATTAGGAATTTGCTCAGGATCAAGAAGGGTTTTAAAAGTTTAGCTGGATAACATATTACAGATACATATGAACAATAGAGTTTACACATCCCTAGCACTGCACAGAGTGTCTCTTCTGAGCTTTCATGTCCATCACAAACTTTCTCCAGTTGAATACAGTCACTAGCATAGATGAGTAGTAGTATCCGTAGAAATCATAGCTAACTATCAAATCCAAGCAGCTTGTTCAATGTGCCAAGCCTGGTCTGAAACATTCAGGGCCAGCTCCTCAGCTGGTGAAAATTGTACCTCCGTTCAAGACTTTAAAATCTTTGGGTTGTGTGATTTGTTGTGATTCCTAAATGGGTGATTTAAAACAGATGAATAATGAAAGATGCATGTTCCACTATAAACTTTTCGGTAACAGTCCGATGTTGCAAATACTCTCCAGACAATTGGTAATTATTCCAGTAGCACCAGATTCAGTTGTGAGCTATTCACTAGAGCTAGTCGAAACTTAGCCAAAAATCTTGTAATGGAAAATTAACTTATTTTTTTCTAAATTAAATCTTTGTGTGCAATATTTTAGTTTCACCTTGAAACTCTTTAGTTGCTTGCAGCTAAAACCCCTGAAAATTCTGCTTGTTTGGGACAAGTAATATTTTCCCCAAGCCAAAAATATTCCAGTTCTTTGAAGACATTTTCAATTAAAATTGAAAATATGCAGGAAATTTAGGAAAAACAGTCCTCATCTTTTCCTGTTTTTAAAAACATTTCCATGGAAGTTGATTGCCATATTTTAACTAGCTCTAATACACCCATACATGGGGGAATAAAAACTTCTTTACACTTGTGCAGGTTACCAAGACCTTGGGTCCATACACACAAGAGTAACGTGGTGTATGTAGTAAGCATATGTGGGCAGGAAATGTCTCTGACCTTTATCCTGCAGATTGGCCAGCACAGCAGAGTGGTATACAGCCTATCCTAATTTCCTGCT